TTACAGGACGCCATATTTAAATTTTAAAATTTTGCAATGCCTACTTTGTCCCTTGTCAAACAGTGTTGCCAACTACAACTCATAACAAATATTGTGTCAATCATTGAGGCTCGAATTTATACAAAAAAAGCCCAAGTAGGCCTTGAAAATTTCAAATTTTTCATAACAGTAATTATATAAACATCGGCAACACTGTTGGGCAAAATGTCAAATATCATTTATGACAAGGGATAAGATTATTACTTATCAAAAACTAATGGCGTTGCCGATTGGTAGATTCAGTGCGCACTGAGTGTATTTGCATCCTTTTAATCGACCTGTAGAAGAAAAAGACAGAAATAGAAAAAATTGCACTAGTTCCGCACTAGATCTACCAATCGGAAACGCCATGAGTGAACCGTGAACCATGAAACAATCCTAGATTGGGATCATGACAAGTAGAATTCTATTTTCATGACGTCACCCGCGACCTATTTATCGCGTATACTACAGGCGATGATCACTGGTAAACCCTTTGAATTTTTTTTTCAAAATGTTCAAACTCAATTTTCTCGAAACCTGTCAAAGATTTTGGATCAATTTTTTTTGAGATTGTATCCCTTGGTGAGGGCTTTAAAATGGTACTCGGTTGAAGTCGTTGGGATTTACGGTTTTCGAAAGAATTTAGTTTGAAGTTTTTGATACTTTTTCGACTAAAATTCAAATTTGAGGTGTAATTGCTCGGAAAGTATCTGAGCTATGGAGCTCAATCTTGCATTGCTTTACAGAAAATTTATTGCTCTTTCCAACAATGTATAATTTGTTTTGATTTGCTCAAACTTCAAAGGAAATATTGGGAATTGCTCCTAACTTTGTTAGGATTTAAAAAAAATTTAAACCTGAAAATTGAGATTTACTTTTTGATTTTTTTTTCTCTTTTGAAATCGAGATTTGGAAATGAAGTTAGAGTTTTTTTCGACTAATTTAGATTCGCTCTATCGATTGGAAAAGTCAAAATTGAAAAAATCTGAAAAATAAAAATTTCGATTTTTTCAAAGGGTCTAACCCCTTAGGATTTTAATTTCAAAATTTTCAAACTCAATTTTTTCGGAACTCGTCAAAGATTTTGGATCCATTTTTTTTAGTATTGTAGCCCTTAATGGGAGCTTTGAAATGGTGCTTAGTTGAAGTCGCTGGCATTTACGGTTTTTGAGAAAATCGAGCTTGAAGTTTTTGACTAAATTTTAACTAAAATCCAACTTTGAGGCTCAATTGCTGTAAAAGTATTTACGTTATAAAACTCAATCTAGCACTGATTTATAGAGAATTTAATGCTCTTTCCAACCATATATAATTTGTTTTGATTTGTTCAAATTTCTTCGAAGATATTGGCCATTATTCCTAACCTTGTCAAGATTTTAAAAAAAATTCCAGAACGAAAATTGTGATTTTTTAGCTTTTTGAATTCGCCATTTTGAAAGTGATGTTAGAATTTTTTTCGATTAATTTAAAACCGCTAAATAAATTGGAAAAGTCAAAATTTTGAAAATATGATTGGTTTGACTGAAATCCATAAGCAACACCACTGGCCAAACAAAATACATGTTGCCAACTTGAAAAATAACCGGCCAATAGCAACAAGAGCCTGGAATAAACAGAAATTGAAATATAGAAAGGGAAACATATATAAATAGGTAAGGTCAGTTGGGGTAAATGTGTTATAGAATTCGCATAGTGACACTTTAGTGGCCGATACTTTGAAAACCAAAAACATCAAAAATTTAAAAAAAAAAATTACATAGTGTATCGTGATGTTATTCAACACTTCTGAGTATTTTTTTTCTGATAGGGTCCTTTTCTGATTTTCCCGCAATTTTTTTTTAAAACTATGTTGTTATATCACACTTACCCCTCCTACTGGGGCAAATGTGATAATGGTCTCTGCTCTCTCATAGGCAGTTTATATACTTTTGGGATGGGGTTATTGTGAAAGAGCGGATTTTTTTACATAAAATAGATTATTTGTGCGGCTCCTATAGGGGCCTCAACTTCAGGGTTTTGAAATAATACGCCAAGAAGTGAAAAAACGAAAATAAAACTTTTATTATTGTTTACGAGGAACAGGTAAAAAACTTAATAGGAATTCTCTTACATTAAGTATAAACGTTTTTAGGCATTTCAACTTATTTCTAACTTAAATATGGTTACTTTTTTAGCTTTTATTTAATGTTGAACCCTGTAAAGGTTATATTAAATGAAATTATACCCCTTCGATCAATTACAGGTTCAGGAAGCACTTTCATAATGTTTTCTTCCTCAACCGTATCGATGTCATCTACTAGAGGTGATATAAACTTAGTTCCTTTTGGTCGCGAAAACTTAATTACCCAGTCCCTCCCATCCTTTTCGGTTATTTGGCCGACAAAGTGTTTCTTGGTTTTTTTTGTGGCGTACTCAACAAGTACCCATTTGTCAACCGCTGGAACTTGCTCTATCACATCCGTAGGTTCTGGAGAGGGATTTCGTAAAGAATCTAAATATTCATTATCGCTGTCGGAGTCCTGGACCGAGAAGTCTTCTGGGTCGTCATCGTCCGAGGAACTATCAGCCTTTTCCTTTTTCTTATTTGAACGTTTCACAGGAGGGGACTTGAAAAGAAGAATTTCGTTGGTTATTATTTCAGCCCCAGCGGCAACTTTTTTCCTTGGAAGCTTCTCATTAGGTGTTTTTTGCTTAACAGTGGAGAGCAGAAGCGACTCAAATGAGAGCGGGTTATCAGAGGGCATAGCTGCAGTCGAAGCAACGGGGTCTTTGTACGGGTTGTCCGCCGCAACATGCACTGGAATATTGGAACTGTCCGCCGTTATATGCTCTGGAGGATCCGCACGTCGATTATGGAGATCCCATCTTTTAAGAGCTTCTGGGCAGAACTTCTCTCTAGGAATAACATTTCGATTGAAAGGTACTATTCCGCCTTTTTTGAATCCATTTTGAATTATGGTGCCTTCTAGCGATTGCCATGTTTCGCCTAGATATTGCGCAAATAATTTCTTTGGAAGTTTTTGCCCCACATGCTGTCTTTGCCATCTCACCAACTTCTCGTCCCATCGTGACTTTAAAGCTTTAAAAACCGCCAGATCGAGAGGCTGAAGAAGATGGCTGCTATGAGGGGGCAATTTTAAAATTGTCACACGTTCTGCCAAGGCTGCCTCAATGATCTCGGGACTTAGGTGTGTGCTGTGGCCATCATAAATAACTAACACCGGTCTCTCGTCTCCAAAACAGGGTATTAAAGTTTTCTTGAAAAAATTCAAAAATATCGTTGATTCCATCCAGCCTTTTTTGCTAGCAGCGTAGACTGTTCCAGGAAATCCTGTTCCTTGAGGGGCCATCCACTGATCCCACACATTAAGACCTTTGAAGATGATTAACGGTGGTGCTTTATTACCAGCTGCACTTGCGCACATTAAGACACTGGTGTTCTCCCGGCCAGGAGAGCTAACGGTTCGAGAACAAGCAACTCCTTTTAACCCCACGACTTTACATTTGGACGGATCAATGGAGAAAGAACTTTCATCCAAGTTCCACACTTGATTTGGTTTGTTGCCCAAGTCCAGGTCTTTGAGTACTGTTTCTAGCAAATCAAAATATTTATATATGATGAAAGGATCTGTTGCTTTCTTGCGAGCAAACTCGACTGCTTGTGGAATCTTTAAACTTAACTTGTGACGTCTCTTGAAATTTATGAACCAATCTGGTCCAGGAACATTGTTTTTGAAGGGGGTTTGGATGTTGTTTTTGGTCACATATTCAGCGACCAGTTCTAGGACCTCCTTCCGAGTTAACCCAAATCCCCATTTTTCGAGGGTTGTAAGGCCAAGGACAAGCTTTTCTTCTTCTGCAAGTGAAAGTGCACATATTCTACCCTTGGTGGAGCTTTTCACTCCGCGTAAACCCTTTTTGTGGCTATAGAGGGTACTATAGGGGATGTTATACACTACGGAAGCGCGGTACATAGTCATTCGATTGGCTCGAACCTCCTGTAATGCCCGTTGCAAGATTTCATCATCATATTTCTGGTTGGGCTGAGTTTTCCGTTTGTAGACACGCACCATTTTTCCTGAAATCAAAATGGGGCAAGTGTGATATACAGATGACTGTGGGGTAAATGTAGTATAGCACATTAGCCCCACAATTCAAATTGAGGGGGGCAAGTGTACCATAGGGTTGTTAAAAAAAAACATAAACACATATCGAAAATGTAAAATACTACAGTCAAAATATATACTCAATCCACCCTAAAACCAAAAATTCAGTTGCTTACCTTTATTTTTACTTGCCCTCTCCACAGCACGAATAATTGAATGATGCACTCGACATGTAACCGAAAATAACAGCTGTTTGGAAAATAACGGAAAATTTTTGACAACTGACAGGAACGATTCGCCAAATTGGGAGTTCGTTCGAAAACATATTATCTGTAATAAAAACCACTCTAACGTCTAAAATTTTCGCTTGTGTTAGAATAAATGCCAATTATTGCATTTGCCCCGTTATCACATTTACCCCAACTGACCTTACAGGTTTTTTTGAATCTAGGTTTTTTAAAAAAACCTACTTCTCAAAATAAGTGCATTTTAGGTTTTTTTGTTTTACAAAGTACCTATAATTTCAGTAGTAATTTCTTTCCAGTATGCTATACCTATATTTTATTTCTCAGTTTAGCTATTATTTGGTTAAAAATTGAATTATTTACATAATAAATTATAGGTATGGTACATACTTACATCACCAATATGTGTTACAACAATTACGTACTAAAAAAACCTAAAAAACCTTAAAAAACCTGAAATTATTTTTCCTAATTAAGTAATAGGTTTTTTCCATCCCTGAGTACAAACAATCTGATTAAAAATCAGACATAATTAATAAACAAAAATAAGATTGTTGAATTTTTGGTCTCTTTGGTACAGAAACAGTAACAATAAACTAAAAACAAACATAACACACAAAAAAAATATTCATCTGAAGTTAAAACCTGGGTCTAAAACTCCTCTCAATGCTGCAACTAGTTTTATATCTACTGGTTGAATAGTCACTCTCTTAGCATGGGCAGCACATGCATTGGCATCGATGAACAAATCGGTGAGGTAAACTTCGGCTACCACTTGTAAGGCTTCTAAGGCTTCCACTGTTATCCTTTTTGCTTGCGAACAGGCTTGCATTATTTCTCGGATCAGTCTTGCGAATGGTGCTTTATGAATCATAAAGTCGGTGCTGCCTTGTAATCGTTTCATCAGTTTGAACATTTTTCTTGAACACAACTGGTGCCTGGGAACGTTTTTGACTACGTACAATACTTCTTGTTTTTTTTTTTTGCTTTTTTTCGGTTTGTCGTTCTTTTTCTTCATTTTGCTTTTGAGTCTTAATAATAAAATTCTGTTCGTCAATGTAAGTACATTTAACTGGAAAAAAACTTTCTAACTTACGTTCCAGAATTATTATGGCCCCTTTTTTCCAAACTTTTATAATGCAACAAGAAATCTGAGGATTCAAATAGGTTGTCATTTGAGTTGTCAATTTCGGGCCTGTTCGATAACACGAGGTGGGTTCCATTCTCCATTCGCACTCCAGCCGTTCGGGTATTGCTTTTTACCCTATTAGGGGAGATCAGTGATTAGGGGTGACTCCATTAGCTCTGTTCACTCCACTCCAACTCCGCGCTGAATAGCCGAACCCAGTTACGGTTGTTGGTATGAAAATTATTTCCACAATTCTGTTTGGTTACGTTCCTTTCCATTTTTTTTGCAATTTTTGATCCGAACCGTTCCTTTATTTAGTTCGATTCAGAACGAGTTTATCTGACATTTTATTTTGGAGCATCCGGAGCAAATCTTTTTCCTCTGTTTATTGCTTAAGCCGAATTCAAAAAACTGTTAGAAAATATTTTGAAACGAGATTTCGCCTCGGTTCAAAAACAAACGCATGCGCAATAGTTTAAGAAAGTTGACAATTTGTTGTTTATGTTTATATTTGTGTTGTGTCTTTGGTAGCAGGTTATAGAATCATGAACAGAATACTCTTAAATTTTTTGAAAAATAGAAAATAGGCTATTAGGGCTATGACTAATTATTACCAGAGAAAAAAAAACGAAAATCCTAGGTTAAGTATGTATGGTTAAACTGTGGTTAAATTCTGGTTTGAAAACCTCATTTTTTCTCGAATGAAAGTAATGACGTCATTTTTAAATAGGTTCAAAAACATTTCGAACTGTTGGGGTCGAGAAAAAACACCTATAATCTTGTTAAAATCATCACCTTTGCTTCATTTAAAATTGTCGAAAAAACAAGCACAACCTGAGCATCCCATCGAAGCCTGCGGTTGACGTCACCTCTAAAAGTTGCTTTGCTGCCAATTATACTGCTAATACTGGTGACGTCACTCGCAGGCCTTGCCGACTCGAGAATTGGCGAACGTACGCCTTAAGCCTAGTACACACAACCGAAGAGTGCGGATTTTTTCTATTGGTCGAATATGTCAAATTTAAATGTATTCGACCAATAGAAAAAAATCCGCAAAATAAAAAACCGCAATTCGTGGTTATGAGTACTAGGCTTTATGAGGATGAGCATTCATTCCGTTCTCCTGCTGTTCTGCAATCACGTGACCCAAAAGTCCCTGTTGCTCCAATCTACTTCAAATTATGAATATTACAATCTAAAATTTGTTGCCCCAAATGTGTCAATTCAACAATCTAGGAAAAACTGAAAACTCTCTTTTTCCTAAGTGAGACTTCTGGAGTGAGCTCCACTTACTCCACTTCGTATGCCCGAACGTGAGCGGCTTCACTCTACTCACCCTTAAACTATACCCGGACATTCAGAGTGGGTTCGGCAATAACTTCATGAATAAAAAACTGCGTCGTGTTATCCGTGCGTTCGTTATTTTGGTCCGAGTTCTCCGAGCTTGACTTTACCGTTCGTTTATTTAAAAAGTGTACTCGGTGCAGCCTCATTCGCGTTCGTTTATTAAAATTTCTGGCACTTTTATACAGCGTTCAACTGCTCTGTTCGCTCACTGGTCACGTGATTATGGCTCCGCTCGGCACGCTCTGCTCTTTGAGCAAAATACCGAACGCAAGGAATATAAATAATCTACCGCTTCCAGTAGCGGATCTAACATGAAGCAAAGGACGCACTCTGCGTCGGGCCCCCAGAGCTGAGGGGCCCCCACACAACGAGATTCTAAAGGCATTGATAAAAAAAAATTAATAAAAAAAACACTCATGAATATGAAAAAAATCGAAAATTAAATTTTGAAAGTTACGGCAACGTTGTATACCTCTAAAGAATCCTGCTGTGTTCGACGCGATGTGGCAACCGCGGATGCATGTTTTACTTTTTTGATCTTTTCATAAGTGGGGGTGGAGACTACTACATGTTATATTTCTTTTTGTTTGTATGGAAAGTTCCTGAATTTTTACAAATAATAATTTTTTTCGTTCAACTTGTTTTCATATTGTCTCATATGTTCTTACAGTCTAGCAAATTCAATTTTGCCGGCGACGTCTGAGGAGCGAAGAGCAGAAAAATGGTGGACACACATGGTGATTGGTGGGTTGTATCGTGAACCTTGTCAAACTTGTTTTTATAAAGGTAGCGATAATGGATTTGAATCATCTGCAGCCAATCGCTTTATGGATGTACTGTCAAAGAAGAGGAGTTGACACACCTGTCAATTTTTTGTCCGCATTCTTTTCTTCGGCAAAGAACCCCGCACATTTCTTATGGAAAAGTGATCTATGTGGAATTTTGCTGAATTTTTGATATTGTCTATAGAGAGTCGTCCTTAACAAAAGTGATCATTGCGCTAATGTTCAATACCCAACAGTTTTCAAAATATCAATTAAAAACTTTTTTAATATGATACTCTTCAGAATGACGTCACCAGTATGCTCACAGCAACGAAAATTATTACTATCCTTTCCACTTTTGACTTTGACTTTACTCTTCTCCTTTTAACATTAAGAAATAAAAAAGATAGCGATAGCGATTAGTGACAAATAGGTAGGTATGTAAACAACACCTAGCTCCTGCCGCAATCGTCAACTTCATGTCATGATGCCTGTCATATAGAGATTTCATTTGTACCTGTTGTTGTTTTTTTTTATTTCCTAAATGTTAAAAGGAGAAGAGTATAAGTATAGTCAAAGTCAAAAGTGAAAAGGATAGTTATAATTTTCGGTGCTGTGAACATACTGGTGACGTTATACTGAAGAGTATCAAATTAAAAAAGTTTTTAATTGATATCTTGAAAACTGTTGGGTATTGAACATTAGCGCAATGATCACTTTTGTTAAGGACACCCTATACACAATATCAAAAATTCAGCAAAATTCCACATAGATCACTTTTCCATAAAAAATGTGCGGGGTCCTTTATATTTGCCTGACTTTTAATAAAGTTGTTTTTCAATTAGGCACTAGCTGACGTCACACACATAACATCACCTCCGAAAGAGGGACAAACAAAGCGTTTAAGGACTATTACACACATCGGTTAGGCGATAGCTATTACGTTTCAAATCACATAACGTCACTTTTCGGGGGACAGACATATCATTAACCAATAGTTGGGGAGCTGGCGTCAAAAACATGCAAGAGTTTTCGCAAGGCGGATATTTTCAAAATAGGTCGTACTTTAGTGTTAGAATGCTAGTGTACAGTCAGCACTCACAGTTCCGGGACAGCTGGCTCTGGGACGCGGGCAAAGTTGTAATTTTAAGAAGCATCTAAACTGTTTTCTCAAAGCTCAAAATTTATAGAAATTTTGCAGATTATCTGTTTGAAGGTCACAGATAACGTATGTAAATCGTCAGACGTTTAGTTCGTTGCAAAAAGGGGGTCCGACGTCCTCAAAGTTTTTATTTTATGGCATTTTCTTCGGTGTCCTGTCAAAATATATTTTTGCAGGTATTTGACAAATATATTTGAAGAAAATGCCATAAAATAAAAACTTTGAGGACGTCTGACCCCCTTTTTGCAACGAACTAGACGTCTGACGATTTACATACGTTATCTGTGACCTTCAAACAGATAATGTGCAAAATTTCTATAAATTTTGAGCTTTGAGAAAACAGTTTAGATGCTTCTTAGAATTAGAACTTTGCCCGCGTCCCAGAGCCAGCTGTCCCGGAACTGTGAGTGCTGACTGTACACTAGCATTCTAGCACTAAAGTACGACCTATTTTGAAAATATCCGCCTTGCGAAAACTCTTGCATGTTTTTGGCGCCACCTCCTGGACTACAAGGTTCCTAAAGTTGATAGGTTGCCTGGTAATGGGTAACTTAATGAGGCATCTGGGGTACCCTATGGAGATTTGCATTATGTTCAGGCATCCCGGATGACGTTATGAAGTTATCAGACAACCTACCTCTCTCAAACAAACTTGAAGGCCGTTTTCGCCAACTACATATTTTAGAGAAGCCTTAAGTAGTATTCCTTAAAATGACAGTTTTCCTAAGTTTTCCATGGAGAAATATCAGTTTGAGGAATACTTATCGTTAAGGCTTCCCTAAAATAGTTGATGAAAACGGCCATGAGACAAACAAACGCTTTGTTTGTCCCCCTATCAAAAATGAGGTTATGTGTGTGACGTCAGCTATTGTCTCTAGCACCACAAGAAAAATACTAAAAAAAAAAACCTGATAGGGCCCCAAAATTTTTTTATGCGTCGGGCCCCAAAGGTCCTAGGTCCGCCACTGACCGCTTCCCACTCACGTAGAGTAAGATGGCATTATAATTTAATTTAGCGATTAGCTGTTTAGGCGTGAGAAGATTCATTTTAAATATGGGCACATACGGCACATAATATAAGTTATATTCCTTTCACACCTAGGAGGAGCTTCACAACAGCTCCTGAGCTTTATGCGCTTATTCCTTTCGAAAAGTATTTGAGCTACAGCTCTTTGTTCACGGTTCAAAATTGCAAGATCGGTTCTGGATTCACTCTGAATAAAATTACGGGTCAATAATTGAGAGTTTCGAGTATTTGCATGCTCTACGACATTTTGAATTAGTCCAAACCCACGATTTTATACTATCATCTATCATCAGGTACTTTTGCACGAGCTTGTGTTTAACCAAGGATAAGGGTGGAGTTTCATGCATCCGTTTTTCCGACGAAATAAGTCCGAAAAACATTCTATTCTGACATAATCGTATATAAATATGTCAAAATAGAAGACTTTTCGGACATATTTCGACGGAAAAACGGATGCATGAAACTCCGGCCTTATACACACCATTGAAGGATTGCTTATCGACCTCATTTTTGATAATCTCTGCCATATTGGTGTATCACCATTGCTGACTTCATTAGCTTTTTTTACGCGGAGGTCGTATTTTAGAATTTAAATGTATGAT